CTTATAAAAGAATTTCAAGAGTTGTAAAAACAACTCATAGGAGCAAGGAAAAAATGCATCCCTTACTGGAATAAAACCATTTTGAAATGTTAAGATCAATCTCTATTGATGCAAAATTAATCCATCGCTCAAAATGGGCTTGAAGAATAAAGAAAATATACCATAATAGAGATTGTGTGACACACAACAAAATTTACTTAGACATCTCTTAAATGTAAGAATTAAAAAGATATTAGGATAAAAAAAGGTCTTACATAATCAATTAGAGTAGAACCAGATAAAGGATTGTCAGCCTTCAAGCTAGTAATTGTAACAAACCGAATAAATCTCATGAGTTTGAAGGAAATCATCAAAGGACTACAAAGGACTAAGGGAGGGAGGGAGAATTATTCTCACCATAACGATCAATGGAATTATGACTGACGATTGTTGTTTTGCAACATCTCATCTTAAACAAAAACCTTTCCAATAGGGTTCATCTTTAAAAATTCAAGCGATTTGTTTGATACACCAAACCCAAAATTCTCAACTAGTTTGACATCCACACCTCTGTACCCTGCAGCAATGAGCAGCTTAAATGGTTCTAGATGATCACCTCCATCGAATATACTAACCACATTAAAGTTCAATAACTACAAAAATCATAATCATCAACCATAAAAACTTGACTCTCTCATACAATTAATATCCAAACATTAACTTTCTAAGGCACTTCTCAATCAAAATTTATCCTGTCCATCCAAGCAAACTTTTGTATAACTCATTTGCTATTATTAAAATGTTAAAACTTCCCCAACCATGTTAAAGAGTATAGGTAAATAGATTAAGCAATTCATGTACAACTTACCCAACTCAACCTTAGGTGAGCCACACATAGGTCTGATCAGGATTAAGCAAATATTTTTATGGCATTATATGGATTTTTACCATCTTTTAGTGATTACTATTATTAAAATGCTAAAGTCCTACCCTCCCCTTCCCCTGCTACACTCATTTTTTCACCTCTAATCCCCCAATTGGGTTGCCTAAGTTGAAGTGGAAACAAGTCCAACATCAATGACTGTAATATCCCAAAATTTTGTGATATTTTAGCATCTAAGTAAGGGTTTTTGTCAGAGAAAATATTGCTTTGGGGCCTAATAGTGAAAATTTTGAAACTTGAGGGACTTAAAAGAGAAAAAGATTTGGATAAGGATCAACTATTTTTTCTGCTTTTCTTCCCTAGCCATTTCGCGTTTCTGCTCTTCTTTTCTTCTTCCCTGCAGCCGGCAAGGAAACCCAGCCAAGCCGACAGCACTCCCTTGAGAAAACCGGTAAAAGCTTGGGGATTTCTCCTTCTTTCTTGCTGTAGAACACATATAGAACCCAGAAACGTTCCCCCCCTGCAGAGAATTTCCGATCTGCTTTGCTCTGTTCCTCACCATCGGCTGCTCTTGCTTTGTGGGGGCAAATTGCTCTGGTTGTTGGGTAAGAAACAGCTATCAATCCCTCTGTTCTTCTTTGAATTGGCTTGGGTTAACTTTAATTTCTCTTGGTTTCTCCAATTTTGGGATAGATCCCGAATTTCTCCCCAAACTGCAGCTCCGGTTTTTGCTGCTAAATTATGGTATGTGACAGCCCTTTTAAGGCTTAAATTATCCATTAGTTGCTGAGTTTAACCATGAAATTGTTGCCCCTGCACTGTCCGAATGTTTGCTAAATTAGGGGGATGAATTCCGGTAGCTTTAGGACAAAATTTAAGCATTAATTCAAGTGGAATTTATGTGATTGAGTGTTAATTGACTGCTGTGATTTTTAGAGAGAAAATCCCGTGAGATTAGCTATGGTTTTGCCAATTTTTGGAAGTTGCAGTACTGTTCACAGCGTGAGCACTGTTTATGGTACTGTTTATGGTACTGTTCACGCACTAATGGGCCACAATTAACAGGGATTAAATGTTTAGTATGTAATATATGAATAAATTCGGAGATGTCCGGTCATATGGAGACCGATAGAAATAGCATCTTGATTAGGGGGTGATCCTAATGATGTTTCACTGTGAATTTGTGGTAGCGCAGTATTAATTCTGGGGTATTTTGATTAGGTTCTTGAGTGTCCTATCACCCGAGCACTTGGCTTGAGTTCCCGAAATTATGGATTTGAGGTAAGTAAATTATGGTAACGTCCTTCGATTTTAAAGCACATTTTAACTTGTTTTAGAAATGGTGGTGGGACTAAACCTGTTTTACACAAATATGAGCATGACTGATTTGAAATGAAATTGTTTTCATTTGCAATGAGTAGAGCATGCCTATTTGGAATTTACTGAACTGTCTTGATGAACTGAGAATTTTATAAATTCTGAGTCTTTCTGTTAAATCCATGCTCATATGAAAATTTTTCTGTTTATTTTTGAAATTTGAGATTTATTATGAATTACGGATTTTTCTGTAAATCATGCATGGTTTTGTCTCTGATATAGTCATAATTACTGACGCCTGCTAGTGGGAGTTTGCAAACGCTAGCACATGTCGACATGTTTACTGATATGACCGATTCATTCTGAAATCCTGTCAATGGGATGATACATTGGTAATTACTGACGCCTGCCAGTGGGAGTTTGTTAAACACTAGTACCATTATTGACGCCTGCCAGTGGGAGTTTGTTAAACACTGGTACTTCTGTAACCCTACCAATGGGGTTAAACATTGGTTATTATTGACGCCTGCCAGTGGGAGTTTGTTAAACACTGGCCATGACTTATAGATGAGACTACTGATGAGTTTTATCTTGCATAAACGGTTTGTCATGGAACGCTTTGCTATTGAACTGAATTTGATTCTGCATTAACGGTTTATCATTGAACGTTTTATTATGTTAAATTGTTTATCAGGCATGCTAAAGATTTTACCCAAGGGCTATCCATATTTACTTACTGAGTTATCTCATAGTTTTTCCTTGTCCACCATTTCAGGAAGCGAAACCGAGGACGGGGAAACCAAGGGGAGTGACGAGTTAAAAGGCTAGCAATTTCGAGATAGATATAAATTTTAGAAATAAATCATGCTTTTGTAAGATAGATTTTACCTTGAATTTATGAGATCAAAACAGATTTCGGTCATTAGATCAATTACTTGGATTGTCAGATGTGAATTGGATAAGTTTCAAGCCTTGTACATTTGTGGGATCCTCTCACGAGTGCACGACGTTTGCCATGTCCTCGAATTTGGGTTTTGGGGCATGACAATGACACCATTGCTTTAGTTGTAAATTGATAATAACTACTTCATCTCCAATTTTGAGTTTCAACAGAAAGCATCATAGAAATATCAAATATCATTATCAACAAAAATTA